AAAATCAAAATACCAATAATAATAATCTATTAAAAAAGAAGATTTTTGTGGAGGCCACTGAGTTTAGTGAATATTCGATGTTTTTGGTATATGTCTTCTGTGGATGTGCACTTCTTACACCATTTTCTGTTATTAGACAGCAGATATTGCCATGACATAGTCCACTGATCCCTCTATGTGCTGTCAGTTGGTGGAGCACTGAGAGGTAACAGTTGCTGTGTGTGTGTGTGTGTGTGTGTGTTTGTGTGTAAACCCCTGTCACTCCCACTGCACTTAGTCCTCCCTCTGGGTTGATATTACCTGCTGTCTCTCACTGCAGTGCTTTTTCTCATGTATCACTTCAGAGTCAATAACCAGGTTTATATATACATTTTGGGCAAATTTGAACAGAATCTACAGAAATGTGGGAAAATAAATTGCCTTTTACAAGTTTAAGCCGCAGATAAACAGTTGGTGGTGCTAATTTGGCCAGTTTTGGCCAATTGCAGGAGAAGAACAGCAGTCAAAACTCAAATGGTGGAAAATAATGTGTCATAAATGACATGTTATTTCATGTATTAACTGGATGAACATTACAGTCTCCTTCAGCCACACGTTTCATTTATGTCATGATTTATTAAAGAAAGGTGTGTTTCCATTGCACTTGCATTTTGCTTTTCTCGATACACCAACTTTTCTATCTCAGCCTAGCCTCAAGTTTTCCTTTTCTTTTTGGTATTTCTATCCAGCTGATTTTATGCACACTCTGAAAGAAACAGGTGGATGGAAAAAGCATCGAATTTTCTTCTCAGTCCCTCCTTCATTGCATATGAACATGTGCCTCCTCTCGTTTCTGCTGCCAGCTATCATTCCTTACCGTGTATGCTTTGTTGAATATGATCATGCAGCGGCTTCATCAGTGTTGGCAGTGTACTGTATCAGTGGGGAAATGAACCGGGCGCTGTGCTGCTCATTCTGGCTCACCGCTAAGGTCTTGTTAGTGTTCATTTGTGGGGTACAGTAGAGCAGAAAAATGGAGCCATGCAGAGTGGATTTATGCCAAAATAATCCTCTTTGCACCTGTATGATTATACATATGCAAATCGCTTTACTTTCTCCACATTATGCTTATTTTTTAGGTGAGGTGAGACTGTGATGGATTCCGTTATGCTTCAAAATGTAAACGCGCCCACATTTCTGCAACACATAACACCATTTTAAAGTGGTGTGTTCAGAATCGCTCGCTGTAGGTCCCTATGTGTTCAACACACAAGTTGTCCCCACCAGAAAATGGCATGAGTTGATTGTTCAAATGCTTAAAGTAAAACACCCAACATTTAGGTTTCCAAGATGACCTCTTAGTAGTTGTGTGAATAATGACTGAAAAGGTTGCAGCGTCTCGGCTTTGCGCTCTGAATTTAACAGATTTTGACTTTTTAAAATGTGCCTTAAAACAATACTAATATATGTATACTGAGATTTAGTGGTCGCTGTAGCAATTCCTGAAGAGATCATCTAGTTGCGCAAATGCGTGTGTGAAATGGTGAAATAATCCATAGTCTTCGTGCAAAAATGCATTGTTAAATTTAGCCTAAGCTTATAGGCTAAATTCTGTCTAGTAGGACAGTTAAATCACAATACAAATATGTGAAGATTCAAATCAATGAAAAACTAATTATTAACACTCTTTTTAAACAGCAGAGGGCCATATTTTTTTAATTTGCTTGTTCAATGTCCTACCTACGTCACTCAGGTAAGTAGCTGGATCACTGCGTAAAGACATGGAAGGTGAAGGTAAAGACTTTGAAATTGAGGATGCTCCATCTTGTTAAAGGTCGGAGGGGTGGCAGCTGTTTGGCTTCCTTAAGAGGATAACAGACATAGACAGTATATGAGGCAATTTATACCCTACCTCAGAAATAAATTAATTTGATATAGAAAATGTAAGAAAAAAAAGATTTTTGTGTGAAAAAAATAATCATTTCAGTCATAATTTGTCTTCAATCTCATTTTATTGAAAAAAACCTGGAGAAAATCATATTGTGAATTGTATCTAATCGTGAGTTGAGTGTATCGTTACATCCCTACGCTCTAGCGTAATCTAATCAGTATGTTTTCCCTTGTAGTCGTGTTTAGTTCCAGTAACAGGACATGGAAACACTAATAGTAATTTTAAAATGCAATTTTTAAAGACACCAACTAGATTTGGCTAACTCAGATTGCTGTTGCCTCAAATTACCTTCGGTTGAACTTCAGAATGTATTTTTGCACAAAATGAGTGTGATGGTGCTAACCAGTGCTCTGTGAGAGTGGGTATACACTGGCCAAATGCATTCAGTTGTGTGAAATAGATTGATATTTGCATTGTGTAACCCAGGCCTCTGTGGCTAGCCTAACTTTGCATACTGAATATATATATTTACTATAATTTTGTTGGTCCTCCAGAATGTCTGACTGAAGAGTTTGGCCCTTGAGGTGGAAAATGAGTTTCTTTTGTATTGTGCCCACCTCTAAAAAGACCCTCATCAAAGAGTGACTGTGCTGCAACACCTGACCTTGATAAGAAACAGCATGCAGTTAAGAGCAAAGATCAAAGGTTGTGTGGGTGAACACTAGCAAGGCTAAACTGCCACACCCACTGATGACCTTCACAGGGAACAACAGAAACCCCACCGCTGTTCTTCCCGGTTTTAAGGTCAGTGGTATATTTGGCTTTGTGTTTCCGGTTGTTTGTATGACTGACATTTGTGGGTGTCTTTGTGCTGGCCTATGTGTGACCCTGGAAAAAAAAGTCTCATCTTATCTTAAAATTCAAGGGCATACTCGCTGAATATATGTCAAAGAAGTACGTACATAATTATAAAAGTGTAGGTACTTTCTGTCAAACATCCTAATTAAGATCAAAATGACTGATGAGGTGTGTCAGACTAGAATATTCATTAATCTGAGGTCTTAATAAATATTCAGTCTTTGTGGTGTGAATGAGAGTGTGTGAGGAGCCCAGAGGTGACAGTTTCTTCAGTTGTCAAAGGGTGCAGTCTTTATTTGGCTGAGGTGCATTGCAGCTGTGAGGTCTTTGGGTCGAATCCAGCCTTCACTCTGTGTCATTCAATCAGCTTTCTTCGTCTCTCTTCAAGAGGAATTTTCTATAAAGGTTGAAGAATTGGATGAACAATATTTAAAGAAGCACATCCCTAGAAAAGCCGAGGATGACATAGTCCCTGAAGGTTTCATTTAGGGGAAAATCTGCTTTTCAAAGTGAACATGACCTTCCAACGAAGCAAATACAGTGTACTTGCACCACCGACTGCTTACAGTATTAGTCTAGTTCTCAATACAGATTTTGTGCTCATGGAGATTCTAAAAATAATGTTTGCATGTTTTAACACGTTTTATTATTTCACCATTATTCCATGTATATATAAATCATGGCATACCCTTTAGGAAGTTATTGAATGAATATATAGAATGAAAGTCTGTATATATGGAATGAAACTGGAATATATTGAACGAAAGTTTGACTTTACGGAATGAAATTTGAATATATTTATATATATATATAAGAAGGGAAAGTGCACAGTTTTCCAAAAAACTTAGGGAACTCATAACGATGTGTTGTCCTCACAATGGATGTTTGACTTTCACTGTGCAGAATGATGTAAGAATTTGACACAAGGCTGTTTTCACTTTCATCTGCTGAAGGGCAAAAAGTTTCTCTGAGCTCACCTTAAATCTGAGTTCAACACATCACATCACAACTAGTTTAGAAGCAAATATGCAACTTACGCAAGGGTGATGTGGAAACATAAACTTAAAATGTACCTCTCAGTAAAGCAGGAGAAGTAAAAAGGAAACACATTTACAGATTCTGGATGTTTTGAAGAAGGAATAGACATAAATTCTAAGCCTTAAAACATGTCTGGAGGACATCTTTTGAGAGAGAGAGAGATAATTCCTTTATTTATCCCCC